GATGGAACTGTTCAGGTTTCACTCTTATCCTAGTATTGGTCTCTATTATAGCATTGTCTTATAATAATCATTATGCCTTTCCTGATAAATATATATCACATAAGATTTTTATTCTTTTCATTTTTGAGTATTTTTGTTATTTTGTTTTACAGAGAACAGTACGACTCTGTGAACAGCTTTCCACAGTTATACCAAACTCACATGTTTATTACAGAAGAGGACTGGCTCTGAAAAGAATTATTCCACAGTGCATCTCAAGAGATTTCACAGATCTGATCGTTATTAATGAAGATCGTAAAACACCAAGTATCCTTTGTTTTTTAAGGAAGGGCTTCTATTTTGCATGGTTGATGTTAGAGATTAGCAGTAACATAAATTTTTGTACAGCAATTAATAAGTTTGAATTTTGTAGTTTGCTTCTGACACAAACGACATTTAGTAGGAATGTTCTAGAACGGATTCAAGCCCTGATTTAATTTGCAAGAAATGACTTGTTACCTCTCTTAACCCCCTTATAAGATTTGATTAATTTTTTCAATGTGCAAATGATACAGAAATACTTTTGACTGTGCATCATGAAGTTGAACCTGTGGTGAATCTTTGAAAAGAATTCAAACATTTACTGATAATCTGCTATGTGGTAGGCACTAGTATCTGTCAGAAACAGATCTTTCAAGAGCTGATGGATTAGATGGGAAGAAAGGCATTTACGTGACTATAACTCAATTTTAAGTGACAAGTGCTATAGTAAGTAACAGTGAGAACTGAGATATAGATCTTAATTTTGACTACGTAAAATGAGGTGGCATTTGAATTGGGCATTATTGGATGAGTAAACTATTGAAGCTATTTGAAATAGCATGAGTAAAAGAAAAAAATGGTTAATATGTATGGTGTGTAAGAGATTGTATCACTGCCTACCAGTTAGGAAACACCATGAGGAGACAGGTTAGAAAGATAGCTTGGAACCACATTGAGTGTCAGACCAATGTTTTATTCTGTAGATGAGGCTGATAAGAGTGGCTTGAAATTAGCTGTAGCTGTCAAGAATCAAGTTTGTTTTTTTCACTTAGCATCTGAGGAACTGGTGCAGATAGTGACACAGCTAAGCCCCATAGCTTGTTACTTGGTTTTATAACCAAGGCCTAAGTCCAGACTTGATTTACAGTCTGTATTAGAAGATGTACTTAAACTGTTGGAGCGGTCATACCAACCAGGCTACTGTTTTAATAATCTAGGTGGGAAATCTCAAAGACATCAACTAAGACAGTAATAGTAAGGGAGAAATGTAGAAGTGAGGAACTTATGTAAACAGTAGGATTTAGTGGGAGAGGAGGAAATTCAAGATAACCATAGCTTCTACTCTGGATGAATAGGAGTGTTGATCCCATTATAAAGCAGACAGTATGTTTTGTAAAACTAATATTATGTACAAATATTTGAAAATAATCAGATTCGCATCTTTTAAGGTTCAGCATTTCAAAGAATCAGGTTGTGCTATAACCACTTGAGGAATATTGTATAGGTCAGTGATGGCGAACCTATGATACGCGTGTCAGAGGTGACACATGAACTCATTTTTTTGGTTGATTTTTCTTAGTTAAATGGCATTTAAATATATAAAATAAATATCAAAAACATAAATCTTTGTTTTACTATGGTTGCAAATATCAAAAAATTTCTATATGTGACACGGCACCAGAGTTAAGTTAGGGTTTTCCAAAATGCTGACACGCCGAGCTCAAAAGGTTCGCCATCACTGGTATAGGTAATAATCTGAATTTGCTGCATCAAGGACTTTTAAAGCCCTTGGGCTGCCAACCCTGCTAGGTAGGTAGGTGTCTTATATTTCATTCATGGCAGACAATTAGTAAATGGCTATTAATAAGTTTAATTTGTGGTACAGTAATCACAAGAATAAGAGCTTGTTTCTATCAAAAAAAGAATTTAGGAGTCTCTGGTTTTGTGGGATGATCAATTCAAAGCTGGCAGCATATCCTAACCTTACAAACATAAAATAAAATGTATATACAAATATATAAAAGTGCATTTTTAGGGTTATAAGGCTTCTAACATGGAGGTAAACTTACATTCTATTTACAGTGCTATAGTTACTCTAGAATCCATTCCTGTCTTATCATTCCTGCTAGAGTAGTGGACATTAGTTGCTTCACATACTTTAATTGAATGCTCAAAACACCCTGTAGAAGGGGTTGATGAGCTATTTATCATATTGTGAAAAGAGAAAAGGTAGGACAATAGGATAATCCATTTTTCTGAAAAATTTAGGTTGATTTATATGTCTTGAGATTGAGGCTTGGTAAGAAAATCTCCGTTAACCCAGAGGAATGCATGCACCCACCTATTCACCTCGCTACAGATTTTAGGAGCCTTTGAGGATCAATTATTTAAACAATTCAAAATTTAGATTCGAGTTCAATGTTCTTAGCTTTATGAACAGATGGATTAATTCTGAGTCACTTGCCAAATGGACCAACTGCTCATTTTAAAATGAGCAGTGTTCGTCTGCGTAAAGAAATTAAGGTAAGTTTTAGGCATTCCTTGATTGGCATTGGTCCCCTCATAGTTTTTGCTTTTAAGTAGACTGACTTAGCAGCTGCTTGATTTTAATAATGGCATTTGCTCTCCTAATTAAAGCAATAGTTTTATCTACTGGCAGGTTTCTTGTGAGACTGTCATAATTGAGTTATGGCAGACAGGCAATAACTTTCATTACTGTGAAATGTTACTTTCCTAGAACTTCCTTTTTGGTGCATTCACAGCATATAAAATACTTTTAGATAATCTTACTTCATGGGTGTAGTAAGCCATTTGTGGTTGTCATTGAGATAAATTTCTCATATTTGTCATGGGAATTATAAAACTTAAAATTGCTAATAAACTTAATTGTGATTTTTCTAGAGAAGAGGCAAGGACCCCACAGAACACGTACCTGAAATAATTCTGAATAATTTTACAACACGGCTGGGTCATTCTGTTGGACGAATGTTTGCATCTCTCTTTCCCCATAATCCTCAGTTTATTGGAAGGCAGGTTGCCACATTCCACAATCAACGGGATTATATCTTCTTCAGATTTCACAGGTGAGGGAGGTACCTTAACTCCTTGGACTTTTAATCATGAAATACCTGTTCAAGATAAACCTGTTTTCTAATGTATTTTGACAGGTATTATAGATGAGAAATATATTCTTTTCGACCATCATAAATGTTAAAGAAGTAACAGGTGGGTTAATGCGGACTAATTTCCTCAACTTTTTTCTTTACCTTTGAAGGTACATATTCAAGAGTGAAAAGAAAGTGGGAATTCAGGAACTTGGACCACGTTTTACCTTGAAATTAAGATCTCTTCAGAAAGGAACCTTTGATTCTAAATATGGTGAATATGAATGGGTCCATAAGGTATGTGCTTACTCTAGAAAAGCCATTTAGATGATTTTAAGTATGGGATGAGAAGGAAATCGTGTACTTTTTAAGCTTTGGGTTGTTCTACCTCAAGTTATGCTTCTGAATGTCTTCTGTCATGAGCTAAAAGAACTATTTTTCTGATGTGGTAATTGGGTCTGGTGATTAATCCTGGTTCATTTGAAGTATCCTAAATATTAATGGTTCTCAAAGTAGGACCAGAAGCATCACCTAGAAACTTTTAAGATGAAAAATTGTTAGGCCATAGATTTACTGAATTAGACCCAGCAACCTATTCATAAGCTTGTGCTACCCTGATTCTGGTGCTTGCTTGAGAACTATTTTCTATCTAGTAAGTAGTATTTCATTTAAGTGTGATTTTTACTTTAAAATTGTGTATGTTTAACACACATCTATTGGAACTGTAATTTCCAACACCTTTTATATTAAACCTGAAGACTGATATTTCAGTGACAATTTTTAGCATTGTTACCCATTGATTGTGTGCTAACTTTGTTTACTCCCTAATTTTCAGCCCCGGGAAATGGATACAAGTAGAAGAAAATTCCACTTATAAAATACTGAAGGAATAGTACTGGATTTTGCGGAATGGGCCTATCTTGATTTTGTAACAGAAGACTCTTCAAAATGGCATTTACTGATTTCATATACCTTATTTCGTGTCTGGACAAATTACCAAGTGCCATGAATTACCACTCACTGTTTCTGTAGGAAATACAAATAAAAGTATTTTGGTGAGAGTTTAGGTTGCAATTTAGATTTCCTAAAATTTTTTATTTTTAGTAACTGAATAATTTAAGTTGGAATCAAGACTCAATCTTTCCCATATGCACTCTTTTAATCTTTATTGTTCAAAGTATTACTTGTCCTCTTTTTTCCCTATTGACCCCTTCTAGGCCTCCCCCGCCCCTCTACCATCTACACTTTCATGGTACATGTGGGCTAGAGGAAAATACAGTGCTCAGTAGATACAATGTAACCAACCCACTGGTTTTCTACCAGACTCTTGGATGTGGCACAGAGTTTTTAACTGTTTTCTGAATGATTGGACACCACAGGTCTGGGATGTTTTAACATTTCCTTAAGCCTTTCCGAAGATAAAAATTTTTAAGCAAAATGGTTTACCAAGGACTTAAAGCAAAGTTGCAAATTATTGAAGCCAATCTTTGGTTCCTTTTTTCTTACTACGTTATACATCATTACTCTGTACTGTAGTACTCCATTCAGGAATTGTCTCAAGCTCTGAAGTTTTTCTTATACCTTCTAATGGAATTCTTACATTCAGTCTTTACTATCCTTATTAGGAGATAGGCGATAAAGTAAATAACTTAGGTGTAGTGGTAATAAACCCACAAAGGAGTTTATTAGAAATATTATTAAAACAAAGTTAGCCCTGTACATAACTCATATGAGTAGAAACTAGTATTAGCAACTTTCTCCTGACTCTTAAAAGAAGTGTGCAACTTACCTTTGCTTTTCTAGCAGTTTTGCAAATGTATGGCATAAAGTTATATGAGAAGAGTTGGTGGAACAAATGCTAAAAGCAGCCCATAATGACTGGGAAAATTGCCATTTAATTTAGGTGTTCAAAACAAACTAATACATAGTGTATTACCAATAATTAGGCAAAAATACTTTTTATACTAACTATTTTATTTGTATGCTGCTGCCAGTGTATATAAAATAATCATTCTTGTGAAATAGAAATTCATGAAAATTCAGAGAGGTAGATGTTAAGGACTGACAAAAGCAGAAGTTTGTAGAATATGGCACATGTTATAGGTAAGCCTTTTGTACAGGCTTCAGATTTAGCTCTTTGAATATTCGCCGGTTCAAGAAAAGTGGTTTAGAACACCTGAAATGAGAAGAAAAAAAGTGAGTTAGAGTAAAATATCAAATAATCAATGGATTAACAATAGCACTGCATTTTGTATTTTTACAGCATTCATCTGAATGTCAGTTTATAAAGTACTTTCAATTAAACTAGTTTTAAAAACAAAACCAGACACATCACAGGGTTTCTGGAGAAAAACAGGATGGGAAATGACTATGGTGTAAAATGTAACCACCTCTTAATTTTCAAAACCACTCTGAAGTATATATCATTTACAGTTTATAATAAGACTTAAAAATTAACTTGCTAAGATCATTGTTAAAATACACTCTGTCTTAGTTTACAATGAATAATAGTATTGGGGAGAGCAGTTTGGTAATATCTACTAAGGTAGAAAGTGCAACCACACTTCACTCTTTACTCAACTAAACCTATATACAAAGAGAAACATGTACATGGATACTGTTTATAGTGATATTTTAACAGCAAAGAACCGGAAATAGCTTAAACAACTCAACAGGACTAGATAAACTAAGGTTCATACACAATGAAATACTAGACAGCCAATTAAATGACTAAACAATTTACATGGAGATAAACCAACAAATATATGTAGTAAAAATAAAAACATGGGCATACCACATGTTATCTATGTGGAAAAGTAGGAAAAGTATATCATTTTAAAACTAACAAGCTAAACTAATTCAGGATAGATACAAGTTCATCTTTATACTTGAAAATTTGATATATTCCATAACGAAAATGTTCAAGAGGCATAAACAATCAATGGTGGAAAAACAAGTGTTTAACTTAACATTTGAATCAGTGCAAATTACAAAAACAAGATAGGCAGAAAATAGCAAATAGGCTGGCAAGGGCTCAGCATCAAATTCCAGGTGAAATAAAGTTTAATAAAAAGACTAGTGTTAATAAAATTTAAATGTCATTCCTTATTGAATAATTTTACTTCTAGAAATGTACCTTAAATAGGTAAAGTATATATAAATATATAGATACCAACATATTCCCTTCAGTGTAGCTTCAAATTTGGAAACTTCAATATTCAATGAAGTATAATTCAGTTACAATACAACCATTGAACATCTCCCAAATATTTAATGAAATAAAATTCATAAGTGTTTTTAAACAAACTACATACCATAATCCTCATTTTATTTATTTTTTAATTGATTTGGGAGAGGAAGGGGGAAGAGAAACACTAATTTGTCCCATTTACTTATACATTCATTTTTGATTCTTGTATATGCCCTGGCCAAGGATTGAACCCACAACCTTTGGTGTATTGGGACGATGCTCTAACCCAGCGTTCACCCATCAGTGGTCAGTGGACCACTGGTGGTCTGTGAGGTCCGAAAGGTTAGCGACCGCTGCTCTAACCAACTGAACTACCTCTGGGCGGGGCTGATCCTCATCTTTAAGAAATAATTTTTTTTTTCTCTTAAAAGGAAATATCTAACAATGGTTATTTCTAGGTATACTGACCATGGTACTTTGTATTTTCCTTAGACCAGCTATTGATAAGTTACCTATGCTGCTGCTGTTTTTTGATAAAAACCATATATTTTTAAATGCTATGAGTATAACGTTTCAACTGTAAATTCTCTGCACTCATGTCACTCACTGTGGGCCTAAGACCACTGGCAGTAGTATAACCCAGAAACTTGTAAGAAACACAGATTGTAGGACCGCACTCCAGACCCACTAAAATAGAATTTGCATTTTAACAAAGTGATTTATAGGTATATCAAATCTAAAATTTTTTTACATCATATTTTTTCCTAGCCAAAAATGTTTCAATCATCATATCCACAAAGCTGTTTCATTATACTGCCAGGATTAATAACCATTATCTTACTTTGAAACCTGGGTTATTATCCCAGCCATATTTAAACACTTATCTGTAGACTCCTGTGAAATGTAGATTATTAACTGCCAGTTAAGAGCCAGGCTACTTAACAGTACTTTATATCAAATGAAAATAAGCCATTTTTTAAGTGAATAGGAACATAAGTTTAAAAAGGATCTTTAATAAACCATAAAAATATGTAATTGCAAAAACTGCCATGAAGAATTAATATTGCCATAAGCAAGGAACTACAGCTTAATAGGAGTTAGACTGTTGAAAAGACTGACTTCCGTATGGAAAACCTATCCCCCCTCCCCGCCCCGCCAGCCCCAGTGTTTCCAAAAATCTTAACCAATCACTGTATTTACTGGAAACATGCTGTACTTATACAGACTTCCTGGATACTCCCAAATCTACAAAGCTTAATTAGGGAGGGCACAACTATGTAACATGGTATTTTGGGAAGCAGCTTCCTGGACTTTGAGGAGTTAGACTGTTTGTAAAGGGTGTGTGCCATACAGAGTGTTTTGTTTTTTTTAAAGCACTATTAGTTTAAGGTTGCTCCTCATAGGTCAATACTAGTGAGTACACACCCTGACTAAAGCACTATGGCTTTATAAAAGGTAGCACCCTTGGGTTACACTTAAAATGTAACCACAGCATATTTTGGTCACATCTCTTTTGGACTAATATGGTTTTGCACACATTGACATTTGATCTGGAAGGCACAGATTAAAATTTAGAAGTTAACTTATTCAACTGTCTCATTTTCTCTTGCATTCACAACTCCCAATTCTTTTCTATATTGCCCTATAACTGAATTCTGTTAGAGTAAAAGCATCAGAATCAATCCAAATCAATGAGTAGTACTTTAAAAGTCATCCCCATAAACCCTCTTTATGGTAAGATAGAAACAATTAGTCTTCATGACTACTAAATCAGTAAATTCCATCAACCCTCACTTTCCTCACAAAACAAGACTGGAAACTTGCAGTGCCAAACAAAAGTGCATAGAAGCAAATAAAAAGACAACTGGTTATTCCAGCTTCATGCAGTTTTATTGTTTTACTGTAAGGAAACTTACCTTCAAAATTCATTTTACTACAAAAAGGAACAAACTTTCTGGGGTCTGAAGGGATTGGTACTTGAAGATACTCCAGTCAACAGGGGGTCATGTTGAGCATTCTGCAGACAGAATTGTTTCAAATCTGCCGCTGCCTGGGAAACCTATTCATGACAAAGTGGGAGGGAATGGGAGGTGATTAAGAATGTTTTCAGAAAAAGTTTTCTCAAATCTTTCAAAATACCTGCAATAAACATTTCTCTTAACTCAAAAGATACATACTAATTGGAGATTATCAGTCATGTAATTACAGCAGGGCATGTAATTAAGACTAGTTTGTTTCATTTTGCTTATTAGAAGCATTATCAAATGATTTAGTACAAAGGGTACAATTCCATTTATCTGTAAAGTACAGCACATCTTGCTAGTTTACTAATAAGCAGGTTGCTCAAGTACAACCTTGAGGGGAAGCAGCATCTTGCTTTTTATTAAAAAGCAGTACCCAAAGCAGTACACATGATAAGAGTTTAAGCAAAAAGCATTAAAATGCTAGCAAACTATTACTTCACCTTGAAAGCAGTATTACTGGAAAAATGCTACCACTGTAAATGAACATGAAGTTCTAAATCTAAACCATTCAATTCACTGTTTTGGTATCATGCATCATCAGCTGTTTAATGTTACAAAACTGGACAGTGACAGCTTTCTGATCAGTATTAGGTAACTAAAAGCTGATAGCAAACTTCAGTTAATTTTAACAACTTCACTGAGCAGCCTGCCTGTAAGAAACTGTATTTGCCTTAAATGTGATTTTATTGTTGTTGTTAATCCTCACCCGAGGCTATATTTCCATTGATTTTTTAGAGAAAGTGGAAAGGAGGGGGAGAGATAGAAACATCGATGTGAGAGAGAAATATCAATTGGTTACCTTCCGCATGTGCCCCGTCCAGGCTGGGGATCAAGCCTTCAACAGAGGTACATGCCCCTGACCATAATCAAACCCGGAACCCTTCAGTCCACAGGCCAATGCTCTATCCACTGAACCAAACTGGCTAGCACCTTAAATGTGATTTAATAATTTTCATGTGTATACAATGCCACCCAAACAGGACTTAAAGAACTTCTATGGCTTTACACTTTACTTTGTTTATAAGCTGTATCATTTAAACATTATACTAATAAAAGGCTAATATACTAATTAGACAGGGTCCACTGGACATCTTCCCAAGATCCAACTTCCAGACAGTTATGGGGCGACCAGGCCAGCAGGGGGGCAGTTAGGGGGCAACCAGGCCAGCAGGGGCAGTTAGGGGGCAACCAGACCAGCAGGGGGGCAGTTAGGAGGCAACCAGGCCAACAGGGAGGCAGTTAGGGGGCGATCAAGCCAGCAAGCAGAGGCAGTTAGGGGCGATCAGGCAGGCAGGCAAGTGGTTAGGGACAATCAGGCAGGCAGGCAGGTGAGCGGTTAGGAGCCAGCAGCCCCGGATTGCGAGAGGGATGTCCAACTGCTAGTTTAGTCGGACATCCCCAGAGGGGTCCTGGATTGGAGAGGGTGTAGGCCGGGCTGAGGGACCCCCCCACACGTGCATGAATTTCGTGCACCGGGCCGGTAGTTTGTATATAATTTGGTAAGGTGATGCAGGATACAAAAACAATGAACTGAATGGGGTTCAGGTGTAGAATATAAAATATCCTAAGTCTTGAACTGAGGTTTAGGAAGATGGGAAAAATAATCATTTATTCTCAGTTTTAACTGTCCTCAAGGAGGGTGAGTGCAGTAGTCAGTCCATCTGGGGTATTTGGCCTTTGAAAAGGAGTAAAGAGCATCACAGATGCTCTCTATACCAAGAAAACCTGCAGATTATTGCTGTACCTGATAAAAGTACATTAACCTGATAAAACGATCCATCATCCTGAGCTGAATCTAAACTCCACTCTCAGAATCTATGTGTATGTTTGGCTTATACAACAGTCCAGGGTAATGAGTTCCATAGGTTTATTTAGCAACTGTGTAAAGCAGTAGTTTTAAAATACCTGGTACCAACTACTATGATAAATGGCCACTCTGCTCCCTCCAAAAAAAAAAAGGTAGGTATAGAGCTAAAGTGTTACCATTTTTCACAGTCTTATAACTTGATTTCATTCACATTGACTAGCAGCAAAAATACAGTAAAGTATTTGTTAATTTTCTGCCTAAGGTGTAGTCAGCTCCAACTTAACTCCCTTTCACAAACTTCTCAAGCACCACTATGTGCCAAATACACTTCTAGACATTGAGAATATGTAAAAGCAACCAGGTCCCTGCTGTTATGGAGCTGACAGTTCAGAGAAAAGACAGATAAGGTGCTCTAAAGAAAAAAAGAATGGTGTGTTAGACTGTGATGTACAGGAAGGTGTCTCTGAAGAGGTGACATTTAAACAACTCAACGCCCCCAAATCCAGCCAAATGACCACCAGTGTGGACTGATCAGTGAGAATTCCAAGGAGTGGGGAAAACAGGCAAAAGTTCGAAAAACCTCAAGCTGCTATGGCGCTGTAATGATCACCATCCAGGAGGCTGAAATCCTATAATCCTGGCATAATTACTAGTGCCCCAAAGGTGTCCTGGGTTGGCATTCAAGTGTATGGTCACCCTACATAGGGGAGAATTTCTCAAGCACTTGTGACAATTTCTATCAACGGTATTCAAACAAAGGTTTAAACAGTAAACTTGTGCTAGCTTAAAAATATCACTGGTAAAAAGAAAGCATCTAGCACAGTCATGGATAAAAAAGATGCACAAAATGAAATCAAACTGACCACATTGTGCATCTAAAAGCTCATTTAAAGTCTCAAGGTTTGAATGGCACCCTCCTTCTGCCTCGCCCTACCATCAGACAAATTGAGAACTCCAAACCCGAGTCACTTGTGGTGGCTTTAATGTTCCGACCAGAAGCCTCCTAAAGAATTAAGTATAGGATGCAGGCATCATGCTGGGGAGTTATTGAAGGGGCCAGGGTTTTCCTAATAAAGCCCTCGGAGTCCGTTAGTCTGAGGACTTCATCTCATTTTCCTTGGAGACTGGGCTTAAGGACCCGTACTTAACACTGACAACTTGCAACCAGCATTTTTTTTTTTTCTTTCCTGGGCCACTCCATTTGTATAATAAAAGGCACACCTGACTGTCCACAAATACCACTGGATAAGGTTAAGAATCTGGGAGATTAGAAGAAACGAATTCCAAAGCGATGAGTCACAGCACTACAGACAGGGAGGGGATCCACACACACTATGGATTTCCTCCCTCCTAAAGATGAACACACCAGTTGAGTTCCTGACATTTCTACTGAAGGAAACGGGCAAATGGGAGACCATCTTACTCCACAAGACATTGCGGGGAGCAGTAAAGACTACCCTGATGAATTCAGAATCAAATCATCTTGGAAAATGGCTGCTTCTTTGGACAAAGTGAATGATTCCTATTCTACTCTCGTTTCTTCTTTTAATTACATGGCGCGTTTCACACGTAAGATGATCTGTACCAGAAAGAAGCCAATCCACTTGGGATTTTAAAAAATCTGGAGGAACTTGGAATAGCATTTGAATGTCAGGTTGAATGTCAGGTTGTCGCACATCAACACATACAAAAGGCTCCCCCCCACCCGCCCCAAAATAAAATAGCCAAAGACGAGGTCAATGCTAACCAAATGCCAAAATAAGTAAGACCAGTCCACCCTAACCACTTTCCGGAGGTGTGCGGCCTGGAGGTACCCCCAAGGTCAGACCTCCGCGCACTGAGCCCAACAGGCTTGAAATGCACGCTTGGTACGAGGTTGGTTACACGGGCACCAGAGGTAACCTTACACGCCGGGGACGTTTCAAAAACGAACATATAGCTCAAGTTCGGTGGATGAGAGGAGCTGGAGGTAAGAACCTTCTGCTAAAGGGAGTGGGTTTGGAAAAGTCTGGCACGAAAACAAAAAATACGTCTGTTCTCAATCAACCATCGGATAAAGCCCCGCGGGGCGACGAGAGGCGGAGGAGGCTGGTAGAGGGACTGGAAGGGTGCGGACCGCGCGGAGGAGCAGCCGCGGGCCCTGCCAGCGCGGAGTCACCGCGCGGGGGGGGGGGGGGGGAGGAAGGGGGGTCCGAATGCGGAACGCCGGAGCTCAGCCCGGCCGCCGGCCCGCTTCGGGAAACCCTAGGGCGGAAGGGCGCGCGAACCTGCCCCCCAACCCCAGCGCCGACCCACGCCGCCAAGTCTCTAACGTTCGCAGCTCCCCGGTCGCCCACGGCGGCCGGCGCGCACCCCCGGCCAGCTCGGCGGCGATCCCACCGCCACGTCCGCCTTCCCCTCCCCCTCGGCCGCCCGCCCCCACTCACCTTCACGCGGTTGAGCCCGGCCTCCAGCCGGAGCTGTTGGACCACTTTCTTCATAGCGGTGACGCTGGAGGAACCAGACATGGTGCACGCGAGTGCCAGGCAAATTGGTCGGTAGCGGGTCGCGGGTCCGCGGGGGCCAGTCGGCGGGGCAGCGACGCGAGGGGCGGAGCTCGGAACTTTGTCTGCAAGTTTCCGGTCCTTCGCCCAGCGGCTCCGCCCTCGGCGCGCATGCGCGCCTCCTCCGCGGGCAGTTTCAGCGCCACGCCCTGTGGGACGCGAAAGCAAGGAGGTGGAGACGGAGCGTAAGGGGCGGGGCGGAGCGTGAGGGGCGGGGCGGCGGAGACGGAGCGTGAGGGGCGGGGCGGCAGCCGCGAGACGCGTGCGCAGACTGGACCAGCTTGCGTCCGGTGCTCGGGAGGCGGCTTTGGGAGAGGTTGGGAAAGCTCTAGTCTTTGGCCCCGGAGACCCAAGAGGCGTCTCAAGGAGACCGCGGAGTGGAAGCCGGACGCTTGCGGGACCTGATCGAAGGCCTTGGCGGCGGCGTGACCAGGAGGTTCCAGTTTTCCTGACGGAGTTGGCGGCAGAGGTTGAGGGGAGGGAAAGGGAGACCCCTGCCGAGGCGTGGGAACTAGAAGCACCGGGTTCTCACTGTCACCCCATCCCCACAGGTGCCTCCACGTGACCCGAGTGTGTCCTCTGGCGACCTGTCCGCAGCCCGCTTTCCCCCCGTGAGACCTGAGGCCGAGAGGGCGCGGCGGGCGCGGTAACCGCCCGCGGGGAGCCGCCGGCTGGCGGGCCGCAGGGGCGCTGGTTCCCTGGAGGAAATGGGTTATTCTCAAGGTTCCGCTTCTGTTGCCTCTTACCTCTTGGTTTCCTGGAAGAGGTGGTGAAAAAGCCAAGGTGCTGGTTGACTATCTACACCTGTCTCCTCTTGTTATCTATTTCATTTGAGGAGTTAACGCTTATTTTACTTTAAAAAAAACTTTTTTTGTGTTTCAGGAAAATTTGCTTTTTTTATATTTCAGTAACTTATCGACCTTGATCTTCAAAGGGGTTTTCTAAAGAGATAGTAGGATTAATCAAGCAAAATAGGCTGCTTCACCCATGGGAAGGTATGTGTTATGTCAAAGCATTTAGGACAAATGTTTCCTATACTTTTATATTTATACATATACCTATATAGATATATCTATATCCATATATATATTCTTGTTGATTTCAAAGAGGAAGGGAGAGAGAGAGAGAGAAACACCAGTGATGAGAGAGAATCATTGATGGGCTGCCTCCTGCATGCCTCACACTGGGGATGGAGCCCACCACCCGAGCATGGGCCCTCATCCAGAATCCAACCATGACCTCCATTCATAGGTCAAGGCTCAACCACGGAGCCAGGCAATGTTTCCTGTTCTGGTGGAACAGCCCGTTAACGACTATATTAATGATTTCAATGAATATGAATGATTTCATTATTAATGCATTTCAAATTTTTTATATAGTGAAAAATCCCATATATAATTTGCTCTATGCCAACAAGTCCTAACTCATTTACTGAACAATTTAAATCATTTTACAAAAATGTCCAGTGTACTTAAGCATTGTACTTAATTCATACAATGGATGTCATGGCTAGGATTATAAACAAGGGTTTGAATTCAGGCCCTATCTATCCTTGGAATCCCTGGGCAAGCCACTCAGACTTTGCTGAGATTCTGTTTCCTCATTTCAAAATGAAATAATAAAACTTCCCAGAGCTGTTTGTGAGAATGAAATGAAATTATATACATTAAGAATATGACAAGTTATCTCAATATCTCTTCTCCCTCTTCCCCAGCAGCATTTTAAATTATTTCACTTTTGGTGGCTTCTTGACTAACTTCATTCATGCTTTACACATTTGGAAGATTAAAAATAAATATCTTTACTCAAAGAATGGAACATGAATGAATGGTTTTATAGATTATACAGAACTAGAAATCTGCTTCTCTGCCTCCCAACCCATTTAAGAATTTTGTGTGAGATTCCACTATATTAGTATATTTAAATGTAGCCCATTTCAGGTTTCCAATTTTAGCATTTATTTATTTCCAAAGTTCACTGAGCATCTCTTTGTATACTCTATAAATCAGACAGGAAATAAAAATCACCAGAATCCTTATTTCTAGGTACTGCACAGAGTATCAGAAATTCTTAAGCTTCCCTGAAGATTCCACTAAACAACTACTAGAACTGATAAATGAATTCAGTGAAATATAAAATACAAAATAAATATCCAGAAATCATTTGCATTTTTATACACCAATAATGAACTATTACAAGGGGAAACTTAAGAAAACAATCCCATTTACAATTGCATTTAAAAAAATACCTAGGAATAAATTTAACCAAAGATGTAAAAGATCTGTACTCAGAAAATTATAAAGCACTGACGAAAGAGGTTGAAGAAGATACAATTAAGTGGAATCATATACTATGTTCATGGATAGGAAAATGTCTGTACTACACAAAGCAATCTATAGATTCAATGCAATTTCTATCAAGATACCAATGGTGTATTTCACAGAACTAGAACAAATACTGACTGAATAACCATAGCAATCTTGAGAAAAAACAACAAAGTTGGAGAAATCACATTACTTGATATCAAACTATACTACAAGCATAATACTGGCAGAAAAACACATATACAGGATGCCTCCTCCCACAAATGTACACAAACTCTGAATAATTATAAAATGTATTTTATTAAAATACATTTCATTTTCAAAATGTAATAGAATCTACAGATACAGTATATAGGTCAGTGAAACAGAATAGAGAGCCTAGAAATAAACACACCTTTATGGTTAATTAATATTTGACAAAGGAGGAAAAAACTTACAGTGAAGAAAAGATAGTCTATTCAATAAATCATGTTGGGAAAATTGGACTGGTACAAAAAGATGAAACTAGACCACCTTCTTACACCATACACAAGAATAAACTCAAAATGGATTAAAAACTTAAATATTAGAGTCTAAATAAAAATTCTATAAGAAAATGTAGGCTGTAAAACGGACATTTCTCATAGCAATATTTTTTCTGATATATATCCTTTGGCAAGGGAAACAAATGAACGGGGCTATATCAAACTAAAAAGTTTTCGCACAACAAAGGAAATCAAAACAAAAAGACAACCTACTGAGTGGGAGAACATATTCATTGATACATCTGATAAGGGGTTAATATCCAAAATTTATAAAGAACATCTAAAACTTAACACCAAAAAATCAAACAGTCCAGTTAAAAAATGGTGAAAGGGCCCGATTGGTGTGACTCAGTGGTTGAATGTCAACCTATGAACCAGGAGGTGATGGTTTGACTCCTGGGCAGGGCACATGCCCAGAATGCATGCTTGATCCCCAGTAGGAGGTGTGCAGGAGGCAGCTGATCAATGATTCTCTCTCATTGATGTTTCTGTCTCCCCCTCTCCCTTCATCTCTAAAATTGGTAAAAATACATTTTTTTAATGGACAAAGGCCCTGAATAGACATTTCTCCAAAGAGGACATACAGATGGCCAATAGACATATGAAAAGATGTTCAATGTCATTAATCATCAGAAAAATGCAAATTAAAACTACAATGAGATATCACCTCACACCTATCAGGAAGGCTATCATCAACAAATCATCAAACAAGTGTTTGAGAGGATGTGAAGAAAAGTGAACCCTCGTGCACTATTATTGGGAATAAAGATTGGTGCAGCCACTGTGGAAAACATAGTTACCTCAATAAGTTAAAAATGGAACTGCCTTCTGACCCAGTGATTTCACTTCTGAGAATATATCTGAAGAAACCTGAAACACTAATTGGAAAGAATATATGCACCTCTCTGTTCATTGTAGTGTTATTTACAATAACCAAAACTTTGAGGCAGCCCCTGTGTCCATCAGTAGATGAGTGGATAAAAAAGCTGTGGTACATTTATACAATGGAATACTACTTGACTAACAAAAGAAGTCAATCTTACCATTGTGACAGCGTGGATGGACCAGGAGATCATTATGCTAAAAGAAATAAGCCATTCAGAGAAAGACAAGTAATGTATGATTTCACTCATATGTGGAATCAAACAAACAAACAAAATAGAAACAGACTCATAGAGAACAGACTGACAGCTGTCAGTGGGGAGGTGGGTTGCGAGATTTAGTATACAAGATAAAGCCAACATTTCATTCCTGGCAGGGGAGTGGTTATAAAGCAAAATTATGAAGTAAATGAGAGATTAGACTAGAACTCTATAGCCCCAAATATTTGGCTGTCCAGCTTTCAATCTTCTTTTGTTTGAATTGTCATTGTTTTGTTAATTAGCTAATTAATAGGTAAGGAATTTGAAAATACCAAAGAGTATGTGGTCGGAGTTAATAAGTGAAATGTGATTTGGTTAGGATCAACTACAAATTCTAAGCATGCCTAAAGAAGTTAATGAAGCTGCTGTTGGTTTTGATAGTTACCTCAAGCAATAAAGAGATTGTTGTAAAAATCAACATAGAGGCAGTAGTGGAGTTCATTATAGCCAAACTGGGAATAGATGCAAGGCTAGAGACCTCGACAGGAAAACTTTTGACTCTTCTTTCTAGTGCTCAGCTATAAACATGAATTACCTATGTATCTCCTCAGTTACCTTTCTCACAGCCAGTTAGTCATTCTGTCTATTCTTTATCTCTTTTTCTATCTTTGTTTACAAATAATTGTAGCTTTCTTATAACATGGGCTTACCCATGGCTATGCTACTACTTCATGACTTCCCCTTCCTCCCTTCCTCCCTCTCTTCCTCCCTCCCATATTCATTCATTCTCTCTCTCTCTCTCTCTCTCTCTCTCTCTCTCTCTCTCTCTCTCTCTCTCCCTCTCTCTTTCATTTTGTTTCAGTATCTACTAATGACACACTTTAATCTTGAGTTCTGCCAGGCCATTTTATTTGTCTATGTCCAGCCAGGATTTGGTCTTAGTATTGATCCAATCAGAAATGGTAAAGACAGTTATAATTCAAAGCATGGCTCATTTGCTATAGTATAGTGGGGAAGTTTACCTTAGGACAATAGAAAAGCAGGTCTTGATTGATCTGTGCTGAGTTTGCTTAATTAAAAATTTCTTCTGAATTAAAATATCAAGTGTTTAATGTATCCACAGAAGTTAAGAATTCTGGCCTCCCAGTCTGCATACCAGTTACTGTACTGTAATTATAGATTATTATCACTAATTCTTATCTAATAAGGAAGTTACTATAAATGTATCTGAGTCTTCTCTAAAAATATATTTATACTTTATAGAAAATATTATATGTATTTTATCTTAATTTTTGACCAAGAGAAAATGAATTATTTAAAATGTGTCCTGCTTACAACTCTATTATAATTTACCACTTTACTTAATTGTATAGGATGTATGTTCATTCCATTATAATTATTAGCCCTATTTATTAGTAATATATCTATTTGAATTATTATAATAAGACTAGAGGCCCGTTGCACGAAGATTCGTGCAATAGGCCTTCTTTCCCCTGGCTGCCAGCACCAGTTTTCCTCTGGCACCCGGGACCCAGACCTTCACTCTGGCCACCCCCTTCCATCTTCGCTCTGGACACAGTCTTTGCTGCGGCTGCAGCCTTCAGTCTTTGCTCCTCGCTCCGGCCGGAGTCTTCAGTCTCCCGGACAGAGCTGCTCCTGTAACTCCTCCCGCCCCCCACCCTCCCCCTCATAGCTTGATTGCTGCTTCACCTGCAGACCTCGCCGACGGGCTCCTGGGTCCTGGGTGGCTGCCTTGCCTGTGGCCCAGCTTTCCGATCACAATCACAATCATGGGCCGCAGGCAAGGCGGCTCCTGGGTCCCGGGGGGCAGCCTTGCCAACAGCCTGGCTTTCCGGCAGCTCCTGGGGTCACACACGGGGGCCTGGATGGCGGCTCCCAGTGTCCCGCCCTGCCTGCAGTATGCAAATTAGCCGCCATCTTTGTTGGC